TTCTAGTTGATTTATATATCTAGTTTATTAGTTTATTCTAGTTGATTCATATATCTAGTTTATTAGTTTATTCTAGTTGATTACGGTGACATTATTTACATGAACGCTCCTACAAGAACCTGCAGATGTTGGATGCTGCAGATGTTGGATGCTGCAGATGTTGGATGCTGCAGATGTTGGATGCTGCAGATGTTGGATGCTGTCTATCATGGTGCACTAAGATTCATAACTGGCTGTAACTACCGTACCCACCACTGCACCCAGTATCCACTGGTTAACTGGTCACCATTAACTTCACACAGACTCTCCCACTGGTACATCTTCATCTTTAAATCACTTCCTGGTCTGCTGCCTTCATACATCTCCTCCTACATGTCTCTGTGTGAGTGCAGCTACAGCGTGCGCTCTCAGGACATCATTACCTGCAGTGTTCCCTCAGTGAGGACTGAACTAGACAAAAGGACCTTCTCCTACTCCGCTCCTGTTTCCTGGAACATCTTGTAAAAAGATCTGAAGCTCTCGACCTTTGACCTCTCTAAGTGTCTTTAAGAACCTGTTGGACTCCTGGCAGGGTCCAATGCAGACATGTTCCTGTTTTTAGTTTTCTACATTCACCTTAGAATCTAGCTGTTTTTGTTACAGTTTTTCTTTTAGCCATCCTATTTGTTTAAAAAGAAATAAACTGCAGTATGCCTTTTTATAACTGTTTATTGTTTCATCTTTCTTTGTTAAATCAGGTCTCTCTTGTAAAAGAGTCCTCGAGGCTCAATGGGATTAACTTGTAGAAATAAAGGTTGAATGATTGATTTTAAAGTAAAATGTCTTGTGATTGTTCTCCGCACCGCCAGGTGGCAGCAACACGTGGTTGCAGGTGTCCGGCTCCCAGCAGGCCTTGCGGCTCCCAGCAGGCCTTGCGGCTCCACATGTGTGCTTCCTTTGCTCAGCAGAACCATGTCTGTGTTCATGGACCTGAACTTGGTGTCTTCATCTGACAGGACTCGCGTGCAGAGCCTCATAGAGACGGCCGCTCACCGTGAGTCTCCTCCGCCCGGAATCAGCGCCTCACAGCGGGGGTTCCGGTTCGGCCGCAACCCGAACTCTGCTGGTTCTGGTTCGGCCGCAACCCGAACTCTTCTGGTTCTGGTTCGGCCGCAACCCGAACTCTGCTGGTTCTGGTTCGGCCGCAACCCGAACTCTTCTGGTTCGGCCGAAACCTGAACTCTACTGGTTCTGGTTCCGGTTCGGCCGTAACCCGAACTCTACTGGTTCCGGTCCGGCTGCTGGGTCTTGGGTCAGTGGGCGCCCTGGTTCTGATCAGATTACTGAGGGTTCACAGGAAGCTGCGCACCAGACTCTGTTCAAAAAACTGTAAATTTAAAGTTTCTGTTTAATTTTTACATTTTGGTTTCTGTAAAATTCTGTGACAAAGAGCTGATTTACTTTGTTCTTCAAAACGGAACGTTAGTTTCAAATAAGAGAAGAGTCCGTGAAGTTCTTGAACCTGGTTCAGACCTCCTGACCTGATAACCAGGTGAACGGACCCACACCAGTTTAAACTGGTGGTCTGTGGTTGATGTGTGTGTGTTTGTTCC